CCGCAGCGCACTCCCGGGTGGCCGCTCGCTGCTTGCCGCGGCCGGCGCCGCCCTCGCGGGCTGTAGGCTGCGCCTTGCTGCCGGCCGGCCCTGGCCTGCCGCGGGTGCTGCGGCGCCCGGTGCTCCAATCCCGTGTGCCGGGCGGCATGGGATAAGACGCGGCCATGGTGCGCCGAGATCGCCTCCGCAGGTGGGTGCGCGCGGCCGGCGCGAGGGGGTGTGGCTGGCTCAAAGCCGCAGTCCCCGAGAGGGTGCGGGCCAGCTGGTGGGGATGTGCGTGTCCGTGCCGGGGTTGCCGGACCTCGACTCCCGTGAGGGAAGACCCCACCCGGGCTGGTGGCGGGGGGCGGGGTGGCGCGCCTGCCTGTCCTCTGAGCCCTGTCTGCCTACTTGGGAGGGGATGTCACTCCTGCACGCAGTAGAATGTGCAGGGCTGGAGATCGCCCAGATTTGGTATTTCTAGACCCTGGTATCGCTCGGATGCGATTTAGGATTTCTAGACCCCAACGTTGCCATGGCGTCATTTAGGATTTGGGGACCCCGGCGTCACCCTGGCGCGATTTAAGACTTCTAGACCTCAGCGTCACCCTGGCGCAATTTAAGATTTCTAGACCGCGGCATCGCCCTAGGGCGATTCAGGGTTTTTAGACCCCGGCTTTGCCCTAAGACTCTGGGATTTTTAGACCCCGGAATCGCTCTGGCGCGATTGGCGCTCTAGGTCTTGGTATGGCTCAGATGCGATTTAGGATTTTGAAACCGGGCATTGCTCTGGCGCGATTTAGAACGTCTAGACCCTGGTGTCGCCTTGGCGTGATTTAGGATTTTTAGACCCCGGCGTCACCCTGGCGCGATTTAAGATTTCTAGGCCCCCGCATCATCTCGGCGCGATTTAGAATTTCGAGACCCTGGTATTGCTGTGGCGCAATTTGGGATTTCTAGACCCCGGTATCGTTGTGGCGCGACTTAGGATTTGAAGACCCTGGTATCGCTGTGGCGTGAGTTACTGCGTAGGTGTGACTAGAACTTGCAGTACCGTATCACCGAGGCGTAAGTATTTTTCGGATTTCAGTAATGAGAAGCCAAGCGAAAATGATTACTTGACCAAACTGTCCTAATGTTACACGTGAATTGTTTGCATTGGTTTACGCAGTAGTTCACAGTCTCAGCGCGATGCCGTAAGGTGGCAAATTTGGTGGTTTTAAACGTATTTTTTCCTCTTTATGAGACGAAGAATTCAAGGCTTGTAGAGGTTATTAATTTCCAGAAGGTTTGCTCCTGGGGTTTGCAGGATTTATACTTTTGACTCGTGGCTCATTAAGTAATGGGGATTTTGGTCAAAAAATGTTTAACCCGTTTTGGCTACTGACTGCCAGATTGTTTCCCTGCTAAAAATCCTAAAATGTTGTTAGAGGCATTTTTACGGAGGTATGAAACCAGAAAACGGCTTCCTGAAAGGTTGCCTCTTTCCTTTCTTGGAGTAAAAGAGGAGGTGTAGAGGGTGGAGGTGTCCGGGAGTGGAAAGTATACAGTCGTTGTCACCCCCCCCTCCCCCCGCCCCCCGCAGCCTTCTGCTTGCTCCTCTAGTAGCCCCTCCCTGGCTCTGTGCTGAGTCATTGCAGATATGCGTCTGCTGAAACCCCTGAATGAATGAGATGAAGCCCAGGTTGGGGCGGCTGCTGGGGGGGGGGGGGGGGGGGGGGGGGTGGCGGTGATGAAATGTATGAGCTGAAGTACAGGACAGATGATAGCTAATGATAGCTAAACCTGATGCCTTTTGTCATCTCATTTTTCAAGGAGGTACTGGGATGTAGCCTGCCACTATTAGGGGGTGAAAATTGTGATAATAATTATCATGTTTGCGGGCACTTTTTGGAATCATAATATTAACTTGAAAGGTGCAACCAAATCATCGGGTCTGTTTTATGGACAGCTACTTTGGAGGAAGAAAAAAAAAAAAAAGACTGCCCTAAGTGATGCCTAAAAAAGAGAGATGCTGCTCAGATTTTTTGAGGGATTTTTTTTTTTTTAACCACTGTGGAACCACAGTCTTATTTATTAGTTTTAGAGTTAAAAAAAAAAAAAGTATTTTGTGAGTTGGATCAGTTTGTGATGGGTAGGGGTTGTGTCCAGTCTACAGGTAATATTGGTGGAAGGGTATGTGTACTCGCACAAAGCTGTCTCCAGCGGGGCTTTAACAGTTGGGTTCCCTAATTTGTAAGCTCTGTTTTCTTGACAACTCTTACTTTAGTTTTAGAAAGTATTTCCAATCTGGTTATTTTGAGAGCCCTTCCATTCTACTGCTAATTCTTTCCCTGGTGACTATTCGAAGTCATAAGCTAGAAACAGAGAGAACTATTTCTAATTCCCGTTTAGCACTCATCATTGTGGATAGACTGACCTGGACCTTTGAAGTCCTGGGCATGAGAAGGTTGGGTATGCAAGCCAGCCCTTTCTTTCCAGAGACCAAAGCAATTTCCAGATGTTGGGTATGAGCTCTGCCTTTTTTTTTTTTTTTTTTTTTTTTGAGGTGCGTGCAGGGTGGGAGGTAGCAGTCCTAAAAAATTAAATAAATGGGAGCTTCCTCAAGAGTCTGCTCAGTAGAGCAGAAATATAATCTCCTGCCCTGAGCTCTCAGGAGATTAGATACTGTGGGTCATGACAAAGCTGCTTATGTTGGAATACGCAGGGCACCGAGGGTCCTACGTTCACGGACGGTTTACCTGGAGCCGTTTCTCAGCACAGATCGAGAGAGCAGTACCAAGTGGGGCTTCACTGGGGTCAGAGAATTGATAAATATTAAAAAAATTAAAAACGGCTCTCTGCTTTAAGGACAGAGGATACTACGACATGCTTTTTAAAAAAATCATTAGTAAAAAACTACATCTGTGTATCTGTATATAACACTTTACTCGTGGGGGGGGGTAGAGCTTAATATGAAGGAAATCATTACTGTTTTCTGGGGAAGCTTTGATAGAAGCCAGTGAAAAGGGGCACAATACTTCTTTTTGCTTCACATAAAAAAAAAACCTCTTCAAGTCTGGGGAAAAGCACAATGGGAAGAAGGAGAAGCACACTGAGGGATTAAAGTGGGAAGGAGAGGGGGAAGATTACGTATTAAAATAATATATTTTTTCCTAGAATGGTGAGCAGTTATGGTGACTGCGTAGCAGGCAGAGGTGTGCTTACGTTCTTCTGGGTAAACTTTCTGCCGTGCGTCATATGGAGGGCCAGGCAGTCGCTGCACGGTACAGAGTTTTCCCACCCCATCTTGCCGATTTGGGGCTTGTTGAAGCGTGTGCGGTTCGTCCGACCGCTTACCTCGGGTCTCTGGTTTTCCTACAGGATGAGGGAGTGGTGGGTGCAGGTGGGTCTGCTGGCTGTGCCCCTGCTTGCGGCCTACCTGCATATCCCACCCCCCCAGCTTTCCCCTGCCCTTCACTCCTGGAAGTCGTCAGGCAAATTTTTCACCTACAAGGGACTGCGCATCTTCTACCAAGGTAAGGCGAGGGCCGTTGGAGCCCCCCGCGTGTACCGATCCCATAGGTCCCACTGAGGTACTCATTTTGTGTCCATTGGTCTCTGTTGCCCTTCAGCGATGGCGGGGAAAAGCCCCATTTTCTGGGCAGTGTGCTTGAAGGAATGAACTCATTCCCCTCATTAACTCCATGGCAGGGAAGCTCAAAGAAAACCGCTGGGGGCGGGGGTGGGGGCGGTGGAATTAATTTCAATTTCTGTAGAACTGACTTTTCAGTATAATTTTTCTTCATAGCCTCATTTGTATTGATAGATATTGGTTTTCTCTTTTGAGCGCCCCTAGTGTCGGGTAATATAAACGGTATTCAGCAGACCTACCGTTGGTTCTGTTTCCCTCCGTCCCTGATTTCATTTTATTGTGTTCTATAAAGATGATTTGTTGCATGCATAACTAAATGCGATTTAAGCCTTATACCCTTGTATAAATTAATTTGCTGATGATAATTATTATGACTGCTACTTGTCAAGTAATTATCATATGCTAGTCATTGGATTAGGTTTTCAATCTCCATTATTTCATTTAATCTTTACAACAGTACTTGGATATAGGCGCTATTAACCCCTTTTATAGGTAAAGAAATTGTGAAACAAGATTGGGAAAGATTTCTTTTGGGCGGGGGTCAAGAGCAATAACGAAAAATGTTTGTCATAAACCGTTTTTCATTATTGCTCCTGACCTCCTCTCATTTGCTGTATTCAATTAAGTAAGTATATAATTTCCTCTATACCGGTCATTTAATTGTTTCTAGTTTTTTAATGTCTCACATAGTCAATGTTGAAGGGAAATCTTCATGTATATGTTTAACATATTTATTTTTTTCCATATATTTTCACACTATACTACTTGTAAACGGAATGATTTTATTTGCATGGATTCTCAAGAATTTTTCTTTAACTCTCAATATTTTTAATTGCTTTTGATTAAATTATTTTTGCAAACCTTCTCAAATCTCATGCCACTGGCAGTATGTATGAATGTGTCCGTTTTAAATCTAATACTTTTAACAAGACCTTTCACTGTTTAAATGTTTGACTAATTTAAAAGATGCCTGTGCATTAAAAAATGTTCATGTCTGTATTAATATTTTTTTATACTTGTTAGAACTTTTAATAGTTTGAGCAGTATGCTTTTGATACTGGATTGGGTCTCCCCTGGGGGAAATAAAAGTGCTGGACAAATAGAATAAACTAAGGTGTTCACCAGGTTGAGGAAGAGTTGCTATATTTCAGAGAATTTTTGTGAGGCCATTAATAAGGTACAAAAAACCTGTAGTGTTTATGTCGTGATTGTATACTTCTAACTGTGCAAGTTACTTTTTACTGTGAAAAACAATTTACATATTGGTAATATAAAGAAATGGGGAAATACTTTAAAAAATCTAAGTGAAATTAAGCAGATTGCCTTCAAGTATTTTCATATAAAGTGTGCTATTGACAAGTTTTTAATATACAGATGAAAAAATCATCAAATGCCTGTTTTTACGAAAAGCAGTAAGCTTGCATTTTAAAAATGAATTTATTTTTATTTCATTAATTTAGGCAGGGTTTCTTGTCCTTTATACCAGATTATGTAGATTTTAATATTTTCAAGATTATTTTTTAAGGCAGCCAGCCTAACTGATTTCTTTCCTTTTTCCCAGACTCTGTGGGTGTGGTTGGAAGTCCTGAGATAGTTGTGCTTTTGCATGGCTTTCCAACATCCAGCTATGATTGGTACAAGGTAATGAAATCAGATTTCTAGATCCTACTATATCTTTAAAAATCCAAAATCAAGGACTGTGTTATCAGGACTGCAAGGTTCTTAGCTATTTGAATTGCTTAATAAAACAGGATTAAATGTAGAACTGTTTCTCATTTACTGTAAGGGAGTAAAAAACCCTTGGGTGATCTGGAAAGGATCATTGACAAGTTAAAAATGCTCGAGTTTTTCCCTGAATGGAGATTACGAGTAAACCAAGAGGATCATCCGTGGGCCTGTGGTGGTTTCATGAGATTTTTTATCAAAGTCTGTTTGTTAAGTCAAGATGGGGATGAAGCTCTTGTACTGTAGGTTGGAAGAGCAGAGGCGCAGGATTACAAAATCCAGATCCTCTTTTTCGTTCTTGTAGATTTGGGAAGGTCTGACCCTAAGGTTTCATCGAGTGATTGCCCTTGATTTCTTGGGCTTTGGCTTCAGTGACAAACCGGTAAGCGGCATCTAGATGGGACCAGTGTTTTTTTTGGTGGAGGGGTGGTGTTGGATGACAACAGAGGGTCAGGCTGGCAGACAGATCAGCACTCATGACGTCATCCTGTATATCTGGGCTTTCTTCTCCTTAGAGACCACATCACTATTCCATATTTGAGCAGGCCAGCATTGTGGAGGCACTTTTGCGGCACCTGGGGCTCCAGAACCGCAGGATCAACCTTTTGTCTCATGACTATGGAGATATCGTTGCTCAGGAGCTGCTCTATAGGTCAGTGAGGTCGTAGACTTCAGTCCTGCTCACGGGTATCACTGGTTTAAAATGCTGGGAAAAATAAATTGTTCCTGGATTCTTTCTAGTCCTTTTCCCTCTTGGGAGTTTGTCTTTAGCTGCTGCATTGGTGTGTGTCCACTGAGTTAGATGTGTGTTTCCCTCACCCATTTCCAGGTTCAAGCAGAATCGATCTGGTCGGCTTACCATAAAGAGTCTCTGTCTGTCAAATGGAGGTAACTGCCGTGGCGGTGGGTGGAAATGAGGTGTAGCCTCAAAGGGCCACATGTAGATATCATGTCGACATCTAAACAGTAATCTCATGGTATTGCAGGCAGACGTAATTACACCAGAGGATCTTGACCTTTCTTATGCCATGAACTACGAAATCTCTAATGAGATTTACCGACTCTTTCTCAGAATGTTTTTAAACATAGAAAATAAAACAAATAGGATCACGAAAGAAACTGCTTGTATCGACAGACAGCTAATACAAAGCTGCGTTACAGTCACACGTGTTTCTTTGTAAATGCATCGCGCAGCAAGATCTGTGGGTAGGTCTAGCAACAACCCCGGTTGGTCGTGAGGAGAGCACTCGCTGCAGCAACTGCAGTGGGTTATGCAGATAGTTGTGATGAGACCACAGGCGCTTCTGATACCCTGTGGTTTGTTCCAGAAACTCTTAATCTTTCAAAAAAATGTTTATTTTTATTTATTTTGGAAAGAGAACCCCAAGCAGGCTCCGTGGTTGACAATGCAGAGCTCCATCTCACAAACAGTGAGATCATGACCTGAGCTGAAATCCAGAGTCAGATGCTCAACTGACTGAGCCACCCTAGCGCCCCCCAAAAACTCTTAATTGATGGTAATGCCAAGTTTCACTTAGAAATTACTGAACCTTTGCTTAAATCTTTTGGAGAGGGTTCTTTTTCCTTGTGTGCCATTGAGCCTGACTTGGAAGTCCATGAATATCCAGATGTCCCCTGAATACCATAAGGGCAGATTCGGACGGGAGTCTCTCCCTTTATCAGTGATGCTCATGGCTTTCTCTCATTGACTCTGGAGAAAAATGGAAAAGGAAACTCTAGGTTTTTTGGTCTCCCCCCCCCCCCCCCCCCCCCCCCCCCCCAGGGACCTACAGTTCCTGAAAAAACCACTGGTTTCTTTTGTAGCCCAAATCACTAACAATACTAGGTACTGTGAAGAATGGAAAGAAAGGCCAAGGGAAGTCAGGCTCAGTCAGCATTATGGACGATCACATACATTAGCTTTCCCCTGTTTCTCTACTCTTACAATGGGGAAAGTAATCCCAGCAGGACAGAATCTGACCTGTTAAACAGAGAATTCCCTGGAGAAGTAATTAGATGAAAGAACTAAGTTTTGTTTATTTTATCGTTTCTGGCAATAAAGGCCTCAAATGTGACAGTAAATCGGGAGATAGTCTCCGATAATGAGCCTGTGTTTGACTTAAAATTGTTGGTAAATAACTAACATGAGTCTCTTCTTCTCCTATAGGTATATTTCCTGAGACTCACCGTCCTCTCCTACTCCAAAAGGTTGGCTACTCCAGTGACAAAATTTTGAGTGTTTTTTTTTTTAACGTTTATTTATTTTTGAGACGGAGAGAGAGCATGAACGGGGGAGGGTCAGAGAGAGGGAGACACAGAATCTGAAACAGGCTCCAGGCTCTGAGCTGTCAGCACAGAGCCCGACGCGGGGCTCAAACTCACGGACCGTGAGATCATGACCTGAGCCGAAGTCGGCCATTTAACCGACTGAGCCACCCAGGCGCCCCCAAAATCTTGAGTTTTCAGGATTTATACCAACATAAATAATGCTAGGACCTTTATAAGGGCCATACCTGCTGTAATGGGCTGTAGTTAAAATGCTCTCCTCAGGAATTTACATTAATAAAGTTAGTTTTTTCCTTCTGTATCCGCAGATACAGCAATGGAAGCAGTTTCTAGGTAAAGCCTCCTTTCTGAGAAGAAGAGATCAACAAATACTTGGAGAAATACAGCTATCTAGAGATTTGTATCATTAGCATGTTGTCTGAACAGATCAGATCCTAAAGTTGAATACATCAGTTAGAAATCTTAGGGATTTAGTGAAGCGTAGAAAGGTAATCTTAAAGGGAACCACAAATAGGTCTGCCTTCCGTGAGAGAGCAGGTAGGCAAAACAAGAAGCGAAAAGCCAGTAAGGAAATGTTTCAGTAGAAGGACATTTGGCTTAAGTCCTTTTTAAATTCCTAATATGAAACTTCTGTCCTGGTTAGTGGTTTTCTTTCTCTAAATTCCTGATTTTTACCTCTTTACCTACAGCTCCTCAAAGATGGAGGCGTGCTGTCACCCATCCTGACACGATTGATGAACTTCTTTGTATTCTCCCGAGGGTAAGTCATTATTGATTCGCTATAGCCTGGGAACAATGTAGTGAAAAGTTGCCATTAAAATTCTGGGCCAGGGTTTGATATTTTAAAACACAGATGTTGGCCATTTGCCAGGGAAGTGGTAGAAGGAATTCACAAATCAGTTAAGGGTCAGACTCTGTGACCTGTGAGGTTCCAGTCATATTTAACATTCTGGATTCTTTAACATTGACCTGTGTCTTTCTGCTCTTTCGGGCTCTTTCAGTCTCACCCCAGTCTTTGGGCCGTACACCCGCCCCTCTGAGAGTGAGCTGTGGGACATGTGGGCAGGGATCCGCAACAATGACGGAAACTTAGTCATCGACAGGTAAGAAATAACACTTTCTTTTGGTTTCCAGAGAAGCTCTGTTTTTGGAAAGTGGGGAAAGCTGTAGGATTCCTCGTTCTGTTCCTTGCTAGCTTGTTCCCTCTCACGAGGGGGTCCGTTATGGTCTGTGAGGCAAACGAGAAAGTCCTGCGCTGAGAAGAAAGAAGTGGAGAATAGTGAGCCCTGAGCAGAAGCCATGTGGTACAGAGTTTAGATAAACAGCTGCACATTCTAATGCTAAATCAGTAACTGGCCAATTGAGTTTAGCAAATCCTACTTTGGGCTTTTTGTTAATATTAAAATGCTTCAAAATGTCTAATCATAGTTGTGAAAGGAGCCTAGTACCTCTCAAAGTACAAGTCTCTTCCTTTTTCGTATCTTTTCCATTGCAGCCGGGACTGAGAGGGAGAGCTCTCTGTCTTGTACAAAGCATCCTCAGGCCGCGGTTCAAGTGAGAATGTCGCGGCTTTCATTTTAGGATGCCTTTGCATTCCTGTAACAGTAAAGATTTCTTGTCCTACTCTTGCTGACTTATCTGTCCTGTAGTCTCTTACAGTACATCAACCAGAGGAAGAAGTTTAGAAGACGCTGGGTGGGAGCTCTTGCTTCTGTAACTATTCCCAGTGAGTATTTCTGTATTACGTTTTGATAGGAATACTGAGGGACTATGGAGCTAAAATAATTGCCAGATTTAGCAAATACAAATACAAGAGACCCAGCTAAATTTGAATTTCATATAAACGGCAAGTACTTTTTTAGAATAAGTATGTGCTTTGCAGTATTTTGACATCTTTATACCCCCCCCCCCCAAATCATCATTTCTTACCTGAAGTTACATTTAACTGGGCATCTCTTATTTAATCTGGCAGGCCCTACTCCCAGCATCTGGACACCAGTGACACGAGTTGTAGAGTGAAGTGTGGAAAACAGGGCGATGCCACTGCAGAGGTAGTTGGGGTCACTGTCAGGAGTGGGAGTTGGGCCGGCTCTCGTGCTGGGCCTTGTCAGCGGCTGCCACGTTAAATGCTGAAGTGCCGCAACAGAAGGCGGTTTAGATACTAATGGAGAGGCTGGAGGTGTTTTGTGCTCACGTGTCTGTTCGTTCTTATAGATTTAAAAAGAAAAAACTCAGTGCAGTGTCTCATCCATAGTAGCTGGTGCCCAAGATTTAAAACGTCAGCGGTCAGTTATAACTGAAGAGAGACCTAAATAATGATGGTATCCTGGATTCATAGGAAGAGAACATGCACAGTGTGGCTTAGTCCCCTTGGTCCAGGCACAGAAGAGCTGGAGGAGGGACTGAATGGCTGTGTACAGGAGAACTGTCCCAAATGGACTGTTAGGCTTATTCCCAGGAGCTCCTTATAACCTACTCATTAAAAGAAGCTAGATTTTCTAAGCATAAAATTAAAAAAAAAAAATTGTTTTAACATTTATTTTTGAGAGAGAGGGAGGGAGAGCCTGCGCGGGAGAGGGCCAGAAAAAGGGTTGGAAGCAGGCTCTACGCAGAGCCCGACACGGGGCTCAAACTCACAAACCAAGCCGAAGTCAAGAGTCGGCCGCTTAACTGACTGAGCCACCCAGGCACCCCTAAGCATAAAAAATTTTTTAAAAAGATATTTAGAAACAAAAAATAAACAAGTGGGACCTTCATCAAACTAAAAAAGCTCTGTATAGGTAAAGAAACCATCAACAAATGGGAAAAATGTTTGCAAACCATGTATCTGACAAGAGGTTAACATCCAAAATGAATGAAGAATGTGTATACTCAATAGCAAAGAAACAAGCCAATTAAAAACTGGGCAAAGGACGCGAATAGATACTTCTGCAAAGAAGGTATAGGAAAGGCCAACAGGTACATGAAAAGAGTTCAACATCACTAGTCATTAGGAAAATGCAAATTAAAACCAGAATGAGATATCACCTCACACCTGTTAGAATGGCCATCAGCAAAAAGACAAGAGACAGTAAGTGTTGGGGTGGATTTGGAAGCAAGGGAGCCCTTGTGCAGTGGTGGTGGGATTGTAGATGGGGACGGCCATGGTGGAAAATAGTATGGAGGCTCCTCAAAAAAATGAAAATAGAACCACCCTATGATCTGGCAACTCCACTCCTGGGAATACATCCAGAGGAAATGAAAACACTTAACTTGAAAAGGTTTCTGCACCCCTGTGTTCATCGCTGCGTTGTTTATGATAGCCAAGACATGGAAACAGCCTGCATGTCCATCTATCAATGAATGGATAAAAAAGTTGTGATATATATGTATGTATACAGTGGGCACTATTCAGCCATAAGGCAATCTTCCTATTTGTGACGACGTGGATGAACCTACAAGGCATTATGCTAAATGAGAGAAGTCAGACAGACAGATATTGTATGATCTCACTTACCGGAGATCATACTGTGGAATTTAAAAAAACTCCCCCAAACTCAGAGGACAAGAGATTGGATCCGTGGTTACCAGAGGTGGGGTGAGGGAGAAGCTGGAGGAAAGTAGTCAAAATGTACAGACTTCCACTTACGAGTAAGTACTAGGGATGTAACGTACAACATAATGACTATAGCCAACAAGAAAGTTGTTGAGAGAGTAGATCCTAAGAGTTCTCATCACAAGAATTTTTTTTTCTTTTTCATCGTATCTATACGAGGTAGATGTTAATTTGTCTCAGTAATCATTTCACAAAATGCATACACCAAATCGTCATGCTGTATGCTTTAAACTTAAATAGTGACGTATGTCCGTTATTTCTCGATGAAGACTGGAAAAACAATTTTTTTTAAAGGGTAGGAGAATACATTTGAGACCTTTAGTAATTCATTCCTCTTCTCTTTCCTAGTTCATTTTATCTATGGGCCACTGGATCCCGTAAACCCCTATCCAGAGTTTTTGGAGCTGTACAGGTGAGTCTCCCTCAGGGGTCTTTGTTTTGTTCCTGGTGACAGTGGTGAACAGGATAGCCACTGTCTCTGCCCTCACTGGCTGTTCATCTAGGAAACACATAAAAAGATGAATTGGGGAATCTTATTTTCGTAAATGGAAAGATGAAAAAATTCAGGTTTACGTTGTCTTGATTTACATGGCCTGTTTTCACTGTCATGGCTACCACATACTCCTAGGTGTACAGGTAAGAAAAAGCTGTCATGTGAACCAAGGAACGGAAGTAGATCTGTTTTAAATGTTTGCTTTAGTCTGACTGTAAAACTCCTCGACCTCAGCTGAGCAGACTGTAAGGAGAGCTTGAGAAGAGATCACTGTGGAAAAGTGCCTTCTCCTTGGTTGTTATTTTCTCTAGGTGCTTAACTTACTCAGAAGGTGTTGGAATACGAAATCTTGATTATGTCACATGAGACTGTCCCATACCTTCACACGGCCTAGCAGAAACAACCCAGTAGTAAATAGTGTACATTTAATTCTAAACAGAATGCCCTCCCCCCCGCCCCGCCCCATCTCATCTCCTCTCCTGCCAGGGTTAAGGAAGGCCTTTTGTTATCTTTACTTGGACGGTTAGTTTCTGAATGGCCCACTCGTTTGATGCCTCATGCTTCTCTAAGGAGCTGGAAGTCCTCCTGCCTGGGCAGGTGTTGCAAAGTGTTATATTTTCAAGTTGTTGTCTGTTGGGTTATGAACAGTTAAGAACTAGTCTGCTTATGTCATAAATGGAATTGGCAGGTTTACCCGCCTAAGGTACAATTCCAAAGTAGAAGGTGAATAAGCTCTTTGTTGGTTCCTTCCAGTGTGGTATGTCCGTAAGGGCATTTACTGGGGCTGCCCACTGGCTTGCATCCCTCCCCTCCCTCCAGCCTCAAGTTCACCTACATGCTGTTCTCTTCCACTAGGAAAACGCTGCCGCGGTCCACAGTGTCGATTCTGGATGACCACATTAGCCACTATCCACAGCTAGAGGATCCCATGGGCTTCTTGAATGCATATATGGGCTTCATCAACTCCTTCTGAGCTGGAAAGAGTAGCTTCCCTGTATTACCTCCCCTACTCCCTTACCTGTTGTGTATTCCACTTAGAAAGAAATGCCCAAAAGAGGTCCTGGCCACCACACGCTATTCTCTCACAAAAGTCCACCTGACTCACTTGTGATCAGCATATAGTTAAAAAGCCCACGGAGGCTCTGGCTAAGGATGGCCCGAACAGTCCACCTCCCATTCTTCTAACATCTGAGCGAGTGTATGGACTTGCCTTTGTCTTTGTGCTATCAGAAAATTCTGATGAGCATGACTACTCACAGATTCAGAAAGACAGACGTTTTGAAAGTCTTTCTGACAGTTCTGTGGACTTTTCTGGAATATTTAGAAATGCTAATTTCTGGCCCATCCTCGATTGGAATCCTATGGTAAAGAATGAGGAGAGGGGGTCTCCTTACCTGTCCTCAAATGGCCGTAAGGGCACACGCTTTCATAACTTCTCTAAGCAACACGGCTTAGTGAGAGTGAGTCTCCCTTGTCATAACTTTGGATTTCGTTCCATCAGCTGCTTTTAATTATAGGCATTTTGTTGACCTAGGTTTTGGTTTGAATATGCAGTATTCTAAGTATACTTTAATACTATGATTTACCTGCACGTATTATACGTATTTTATAAGAATACTAAACCAGCAGATACTCTGGCAGAGTAGTGAACCTTATTCGACAGGTTTCATTTCTGAGTAAATTGAATTAAACCCAGACTATTTACAGAATTTCCTAAAATCACAGGATGTTAAGGACCAGTAGCATCCTTGCCAGAGATTTACTGTTATTAGCTAATTCTAACAGCAAATAACAGTCTGACTCTTCATACCTCAGTGCTTAGAAGCATGTCCCTCCTGAGCTGGAGGGGAGGGGATCGTTGTATAGTCCAAGTTACCGTGCTGAATGTACATGGATTCCTTTTATGACGACGATTACTTAACTTCTCGTTGGTTGTCCTAGAGAAGCTTCCTCTCGTAGCTCAGTAATTCCTGTACTTTGTAGACAGGAAAGTTCTGAAACTTTAAGAACAAATTCTGAAAGGCCTATGCGCAAATGGTGCTGAATACGTTTTTTTTAAGCCACAGCTTCACTGTCTTAGTCAAAACAGGATGATTGAGTGATTATTTTAAATTTTTTTTTTATTAGCAACTTGAAGTATAACGACTGAAACTGGAATAAGTGTTTATTTTCTATTAATAAAAATGAATTTTGACAAAAGTGGACTCCGGCTTCCCCTCCCCCACCACCCCTCTGGGATAAAAGCTTTCCAACATTGTCAGGAGCTTTCAGACACACATTAGATTAAAGAATGTGATGAAGTTAAGCAGCTGGGGTACAGGATAGTATTTGATTTGCAACATCACCCAAAGCTGTACTATCATACCAAAGTTGACCAAGTGTTAATTTAAAAAAAAAAAAAAAAAGAAAAGAAAAGAAAAAAAATTTACATGCACAAGAACAAATAGTTGCTTGATCTGCTGGCTCAGGGCCAAATGTTTAATTTGCTTCTCCAAAGAACATTAATCCTTAAAAGTCAAATTCCGGGAAATTCATGCCACTAGTCTAAAAGCCCACTGACAGTGAACTGTGCCATCAACTTCATCTTGCCCAGTGACAATTTATCCAACAGAAGCCAAGATAACATCTACAGGTGTTCCCTCTTTGCTTCTGACAGTCACCTGCATGGTCACTCCGTCTGCTAAGGCCAGCCTGGACCTCACCAATAAATCATAGCCACCTCTGTATACACCTGAGAGAAAAAAGCAAGGAAAACTGACTTAAGACCTCACAAGAAGCTCTGAATAATGAACTATATCGTGCTCTGCTTGCATTTCCTATTAGTTTAGTTTAGCTTTTCTAGAGATTTGTGTTTACGGTGAGAATTGAATCTTGTGGACAAATTCTAAGCAATCTTTTATATTTCCGTGATACCAGGCACATAGGAGGTACTCAATAATACTGATTTGGAGTACTCAAAGGTGGGGAAGTGGTAGCATTGGTATGTGCGGGAGAGATTTACGTGTTTTAGGCCAAATTTACTTCTTCAGAGAACAACGTTAAGGATACGCAAATAATTAAACAGCTAAAACAAATTATTCATATGAACAGGCCTTCAAATTATAACCCATAACGGGATAACGGAACCGTAGCAGGGCACGAGATGCCCCTGCACACCCCCTCCTATTTTGCAACCGTACAAAGGGAGACTCTGATGGAGGTTTCTTACCTGCCAGATAGAGGGAATGGGAGTTCTTGTTCTCAGGCACCTTGTCTGACCTCTCACATGGCTGCATGCCCAGAAACGTGATGATGTTGTTGACAGCTTCTGTGTTGAGAAGATACAAGAGGGTCAGGAAGGCTCAGCCTGGGGGTCTGCCCCTGCACGTGCTGGGGATGGAAGGGGTGCCCCGTGGAGGGAGGCTACCAGACTAGAACCCGGTTGATTCCATTAGATGATGCAGACGGGATCCTGGCCTTGGCAGTGAAACAGGTTATGAGATATTTAAAGAGTTACTGTGGAATAATAAGTAAGCCTATTAGGTTTTAGACTGCAATACACCGAGAGCAAAATTGTTCTCACCTTGGAGAGTTTTGGTAGAACTGAGGGCAAAGGTCTCCTCTTTCTCAAAGGTGTCTCCCACCTCTTCCCAGGCAGCAGCAAAGTTAGGCTTCAGGACTTTCTGAATATGGTCAGACACAGTCACTTCGAGATCTTCCAGCTAGTAGGTAACAAGCAGGGGTCAGTAAATGAAGGCCCTCCGGTACACAGCCCAGACCGAAGGGACTAATTAGCATGCTTTTATCATTCCGCGTTATATCCTTTGCAGGAGCCTAGGATAAACTCTACCACTAAAGTAGTTTAAGTTCCGTGGTCTGGATGAATCTACCCGCATATGCCTTCGCAAAGGAAAGCAAGAAAACAGGTCACCTGGCGGGAGCTGTATTCCGAGCCACGCCTATAGCCCCGGGGTACAAAGAAGTCAGGTTGCCACACGGACCTTCCGAACTTCACGTTCGCCAGCAGGTCGATACTTTTTAAATTTTTCCCTACATTCTCTGAGGGCTTTTCATTTCATGCTGTGGCAACATTATAAGCAAACTAAAAGCTGCCCGAACAAAAACAGAAAAACCCAATCCTTCCCGTAAAACTCCTTGATCTCCAGGCAAATCGCGTAAACGTTTTCATCTCTTAATCGCCCCTATTTTTAAAGACCTAACAAAGTGAGTTTTGTTTTAATCAGTCACTAAGGGGTAAATCGGAATTCTCTTTGGCAAGATACACTCCTGTCACAGAGGAGGACTGGCCCAGGTCCTCCTCGGTTGTGACGTGTTTGAGAATAAAAGCCCGTAGGTTCATGTCAGGTGCCGCCAGCAACATGTTCTCTGCAGGCAGAGGTCACTGGGTGGTGCGAGGGTGTCAGAGTGAATCTCTGTGCCGGGAAGACTCACCACGTACTCATCATCATACCCCTCCTCAGCTGGAACCCCGGTGTCAGGGTCGCAGTCCCGGACTGTAAACTTCATGGTGCAGCTAAAGGTGCCTGCAGCTGGGGTGAAAGAGAAGGCAAGCCTGTGTCAGGGGCAGTGCAAGCCCAGGGCCTCCGTCTGTAACTCCGCACCGTCCGCACGCAGCGCCGTGTTCTGTATCGTGACGGGTGGTGGCCCCCAAAGCAGCCTGCGGCCTGGGCAAAAGGCAGTCTCACAAAATGACTTTAAAAACCATTCCCCGCCATACATAGACCACACCTTTCCTGTCGAAAAGTACAGAAAAGACGACCTGGACAAAAATGTTTTCTTATCTGTATAAAGAAAGCGGCAGGGGGGATAACTGGGGACTTTTTTTTGCCAGGCCTGTCAAAAGGGTCTACAAGTTGAAAAATGTGAGAACCGTTACTTTTAGGAGCTGACAAAGCAAAAAAAAAAAAAAAAAAAAAAAAAAAAAAAAAAAAAAAAAAAAGCAAAAAGCACACAGGTCATTGAATTAACACTAAGTACACCAGAGTCTCTCAATATTGTATCTTTAGACTGTGGACCAACAGGGGGTCTGTAGGACACCAGAATGAACTTGCTTTAGGTCAACTTTCAACCTACAGTATAGGTCAGTAATGAGGTTCCAGTACTGGCAAAGTCAGTGTCTTAAAACGGAAAAACAAGTGGGCCATTATATGTTTGGGGATGACTCGTAAATTCAGAAAGAAATGGAGGTAGGGGGACACATTTTTGGAAAGGGAAGTCTTCGTAAAGAAGATGGGACTTTCTGAACTGTTGGAAGAGGGGGTGATTTATTAAGTATGGATGAAAAGGCATTTGAGGATTTAATCCATGGTTTGAAAAAGGCTTACAGGTACAAAAAATACTAGAAATTGGGGAGTGAGAGTTATTTGGGGGATAGGAAGGGCAGGAAAGAACAGACTCAGATGGAAAGACCATCTGTGACAATCTGGGTAATGGGACTTTGACCTCTCTGCTCAGTCTTTAAACTCCCTCTTTCCCGCCAAGTATGTAGTAAATGCCAATACGTGTTGACATTCCACATAAAGGTGTAAACAAGCATGTCAGATTGGAGTCATGACCTCTTTCTCCAAGAGTGGATTGGCTAGGAGTTAACTAGATGTGTGTGTGTGTGTGTGTGTGTGAGAGAGAGAGAGAGAGAGAGAGAGAGAGAGGGAGGGACAGGTCTCCTTACATGCCTGTGACGCTGCAACTCAGTGCCCGTAGGTTCTTTGAGTTTTAACGGGGCTGTGTGGGAGTGCAGGATTAACAGCTTGGGGAAATCAAGAATTTGAAGGGATGTGACAGTTTTAATAGGATCTCCGAGGCTGCAAAAGAGTTGGGCAAGCAAAGGAAGACACAGACAAAAGGCCAGAAAGGCCATGGGGCAGTTGGCAATGGTAAGAGATACGCTAATGCCTAGGTGCTGGAGGAGAATTTGTTTAGGAACTTGTTTGAAATACCATGTATTTCAAATGAAGGAGACCAGATATTTTCCAA